TTTCTATGTGAAATCGCATCCCATTTTTATGCCCAGCTCTTTCCCTCACCTCATCTTCATTTTTCCAACTCCATATTCCACCTTGACCCTTTGTTTCACACACTCTAAAATAAAGTACCAATTAACACCATAGTAATGGTGATCCCATACTGACTAAACTCAAGCCAAGTCCCCCAGACTTCTGAGACACTCTCATCAAATCCCAAATCAGACCCTAGAACTCGGACCCCTGACCCCACTAATTCCACAGCAGGGCCCTGGCCTTGAGGGGTGTCAACCTTCCTGACATGGGCTCTCAAATCAAGTAGGGGCAGATGCCAGGCCACTTGACCTCACAGCCCTGTGAGTCGGCAATTTGTATCTTTCCCTCCTGGCTTCCCAAAGAGGAATTTTGGCAAGACTTCCAACCTGTTATCTAGTGCCCAAATCTTCATCTCTGGATTCCCTCTTCAGCTCCCTGTCTCCTCAGCATTCTGTTAAGAAGAGGGAGGCAGCTACACTAGTCTGGAGCCCTACTATTCAATCCTAAATCACCAGAACATCTCTTCTACCGTCTGCGCTTGGCATATCTGTCTTTCTATGTTCTTGATTATTTAATTGGATTTTGTTGCTAAACACCAGTCTTTGTGAGGAGAGGAAGTGTGACTGCTGTTTGTTAGTTTTTTTTTTTTAAGCATGCAGCCCAAATCAGGGAGCTTAGGAAATACTTAAATAAATACTAGTTTGCAAACCACTGTCATCCAGAGATCAGCCAGCTTATGACCCAGTCCTTCCCTGACCCTTGAACCATTCAGCCACAAAGTGTGATAGAAAAGAACTTGGCCTCACAAGTCAGACCAGCCCAGGTTTGACTAATGCTCATTGCCCTCCTTGTGACTTCAGGCAAATGACTTAATTTTTCTCAGCTTCACTTTGCCCCTCTCTAAAGTGGAAGAGAGCAAATTCTACTTCTCAAGGCAAATGGGAGACTTAAATAAAATTATGAAGGGAAAAATGAGTGGGCACATAGTAGGCACTGAATTGATATTAGCCGCCCCACCCCATCAGCCAAGGAATGAAGCAGCCTCCATTTCTGCCTACCTACTGTGTGATGTGTCAGGTGCTTTGCAAACCTCATCTCTATTCCTCTCATGGGTCCAAGCAAGGATTGTCTTCCCCATTTTATAGACGAGAAAATGGAGGTTTAAAACAGGTTAATTTCCTTGAACAAAAGTCAACAGCTAAGGATTCAGAAGGGTCAGAATTCAAATAGTATCATGGCTGCACAAACCTACACTCTAAGAAGGAAATTTCCATGGGATACCCTCACATATGCTCAGAGTCTCCTTTGGCTCAAAATGAACTCAGGACCTCATGGGCTTATTATAGTTGATGCATGTCACCACATTGGTGAGAACCCCAAATCCCAGCCCTCCCGTGCCCTTTGGGTTTAGTCCCAGCACTTGTTCCTAAGTCCCACCCAGACTCCCAGTCTCATACTTTCACCCTCAGATGTATGTCCTGATCCTTTGCTTGATGATTCATCTTCCAGCTCATGAACACACCTGAGAGCTGGTATCTGGCTGTCCTGCAGCTGTGCATTGCCCTAAGGGATTCTGGATATCATGATCCTGAAACCTCCTGATTCAGCCCCTTGGATTCTGAAGGTCCAATGTTTCTGACTTCCAGAATTCCCTTCTCCCTTCCATCGAGAACAGCTCCCCTCTTCTTTTGGGAAGCTGCCCCCTCATTTCTTACAATTTTGGTGAAACTGTCAATCATAGTTTTCCAAACCCTTCCTCCCATTGGAATGGATGCACAACCCAGTAGAGTCATCAGGATTACTATTTCCTCCCTAGAAATAACCCAATGGGTTGACTCAGTTCAAGCTGGACCAGTCAGAGGTCTTCCTTGGGATTGATATTAAGTTGTCAGAAGAAAAGAGATCTTTATTTCTGCTGAGTTTGCTTAATTGGGGTGCTCAATATCTGCTCTATTCCCTCCATGTGAAGAAGTCTGTCTACAGAGGCTAGAATGAGATCCACAGGAGAAGGAAGGAGACAAGCAGAGATGAGAAAGAGTTCACAGATATGAGAGAGAGAGAAACAGAGACAGAGAGAAGCAGGCAGAGTGACAGAGAGAGAAATTGTCAGACATAGAGAGAAGCTTAGCTTAAGTCATCAACTCAGATACTTGAGATTCTGATACCCAAGTCCCTTCTCTTAACATTATGAATCATCTCCAAGGCCTTTCTAGGCACCTAAGCCAACCAACCCCCTCTTGGGCATAAGCCAGTTTGAAGTGGGGCTCTGCCACTTGTATCCAAAAGCTCTCTGACATAAGTGGGTCTTTCCAACTTTTGTCCATGCCTGGTGCTCTGATCTCTTGCCAGACTCCACAATCCATGATTCTATGCCTGAATTCCTGGTTGACATTGGACAAGTCTTTTCCCCTCCTTGACCTCAGCCACCCCCCTCCTTCATACCATAAATTAATCTTCAAGTCCTTTTTGATTTACATAATATTGGGGATATTTAAATATCACCTGGATATCAGGATATTAAGGAATTCTTGTTAACTCTGTAAAAAATGATAATATTGAAAACAAATTTGTCTTTTAGAGCAGAAAGTGGCAAACTTTTTCCATAAAGGGCCGGATAGTAAATATTTTAGGATTTGTGAATCAGGAGACAAAATCAAGGATATTATGCAGATACTTACATAACAAAAGGGAAAATAAATTCCCATACATTTTTAATTCATGAAATTCAAAATTATAGTAATAGTCATGTCAATTGAAAAAAAATGCACAACTTAAAAGTTAAGAGTTATACTTTACTTGGAGGACATTTCTGAGGACTTAGCCCTGGATAATAGCCTCTCAGATAACTGAGAGATTGCTCCAAAGAGGCAGAAAAAGAGCCAGGAGATACAGAAGTTGTGTAATAAGGACCAGGTAGTCAGAACATCAAAAGATTACTGTTAGTTTAAGAAAAACAGATATCTCTAGTTAAGCAATTTAGCACTTTTCTTTTTATAGGAAGATACGGGAGTCTGGGCTCACTGAAATCATTCCTTTGATATGCATCTAGCTGTCTAGGGCCAGTGTCCTGTTCTTTTCCTATCTTGAGTCCCCTCAGGGTGCACCATTGGGGGTAGTAGCAGACTTGTCTCCATCCTGAGTTCCCTCCGGCTCACTGTTGAGGAAGCAGTGGTAGGGGCTGATGACTTGATAACCCCAATGTCTATTATTTACCGATATGGCAGGCAATATTTTTCACCCACAATCAGTACAAATTTTTGTAATACAGGTCTATCAATGAGAATGGAATTCTTTTGGAAGATAACTTCTTGCTTAATTAGGGTTCAAAGTTAGTGTTTCCTGTCATCAAGTCAAATAGTCAAAACTATTTCTAGCTTTTAAGGTTTGGTCCGCCTGCTGCAGTTTGCTGTCCCCATTTTAGAAACACAGAATGAAATATTTAAGGATGAAATGGCAAGATTTGCTTCAAAATATTTCAGCGCTAGGAAAGTGTCTGAGTGTGCAGGTGAAAAATAATTGGTTTTACACTGTTAATTGTTAAGTTGAACAGTGGTAATGAGGGTTTATTATTTTACTCTATTTTATATATGTTTGAATTTTCCTTAATAAAAAGCATAAAACAGTTCTTTAGGTTGAGATGACCCCTGAGTAGCCATCCAGAAATGCATCCCTGGCACTAGGGGTTTAGTATCAGGCAGAAATCCTTCCTTAAGATTTCTGGTAACTGGGGTCTTTCATGGGGGATCACGAAGGCTGTTAATGTGCAAGACATCTCACACATCCACAGTCCTGGGAGGCCATGTTCATATCGCATGATTCCAAGTATCTACTGATTGCATAGGATTAGTCACCTGACCAGAAGGCAGTCGAACCATTGGCCATTCAGTGACCTATGATATGTGGCTGAAAGAGAAATGTGGAGCTGGACCACTTGGATTCTCTTTCATAAGAATATAATCTGAGAAATCCTAGATGAAGCAGTTGGTGGTAGTCGAAGGTGAAGTTCAAAGGATGTGAAGCAGGAAGAGAGGCTGGAGGAAGCACATGAAGGAGCAGACACTATGAAAATGCAGAAGCATGAAGTAGAGAAAGGAGTCAGGGAGTCAGATAAATGAGTTAGATGGTTGGTAGCAAGAAAGGAAAGGAACATACACGAAGAGATTTGAGACAGACATGAAGGGGATCCAGTTTCTATCCGGAGGCATTTTATTTATGTCTTTACAGTAACTACCCCCTCTATCCACATCTTTCCCAAGACAACTTACATGCAGCCTTTGCTCTAATGAAAACTCCCCAGAATGTTCTTTTTCTTTACACTTTAATTTTGATACCAGCAGTGACATGACTCATTTCCTTCTTCCCAGAGCAGTTACCTCCAGATAGCTCTAAGCCATGAGAAAGATTTCTATTTCTCTTGAGAGAGAAAAAATATCTGGCTCTCAGATGCTGGGGGCTGTCAATGTTCTATTTCTTCAACTGGGTGGGGGTTTCATGGATGCTCATGGGTACGTGTTTAAGCTGTTTATGTATTTCCTTCACCCTACTCTGTATATCTCACAATTCTTCAAACAAGGGAGGAGAAATCTCCCTGCTAAAGCTTAGAAACACTAGCTGCTCAGAAAAACTATAAACAGAAATCCCTTTAACTATGTTTTTCACAGGCCAGCCAATTGGATATTTAGAAATCTTTACGTGTCTTCTCTCCCTTGAAATTAACCTCTTATTCCTCCAAGTCCCTCCAGGAAAAAAACAAAGAGGGGCGGGAGGTCTTTTCAGGCAGTGGTGATGGCCACAGTAGCCATGGGGGGTCCTAGTCTTTCTAGACTTCCCTTCGCGCGTCCCAGCAGGGTGCAGACCCCTGCCCCTCACCACCTCCCAGCAAGGCTAAAGCACAGATAGGCAAGGAGCCAGGCTCAGGTTGCAAGTTTATTGAGGGGGAATTCAGGGCTCATCCTACAATCAGTTTCTGCTGCCTATTGTCTTCTTGATCCAGTCTAGGTAGCGGCAGATGCTGGTGTAGACGCCAGGTCTCTCAGGCCGCCCACAGGGGTCTGACCCCCAGGATGTGATGCCCTGGAGAACGCCACCACACACCAGTGGGCCCCCGGAATCCCCCTAAAAGGGGAGAATAGAAGACTTTCATCTAATGCCCTGCTGTACCCAGCATTTAGTACCAGCTCTGCAGCATGGTTGGTTCCTTCTAGCCAATGGGGATAAAAACATTATATCTTGGAGCCAATGGTGAGAGAGAGGGATGGGGCTTCCATGCACAGGGATGCAGACAGGATGCCTAAGGGCAATAAGGGGCAATCCTGACCAATGAGGGAAGAGAATGATGTCTGGAGGGTCCAATCCAGAGAGAAGAAAGTGGGGATAACATGGAGGGGACTGAGCTCTTCCATTCTTGGCCAATCTTAAAGAGATCATTGAATCCAGTTACAAAACACGGAAGAAAGGAGCAGAGTTCTTGGTGGGAATCTGTGGGAAGAGACCATTGTCTTTAAAGAATCATCCAGAGAGATTAGATTGCACGGCAAGATCACCCACCGAAGGTAATGATTCCATTCCTGGCCAATGGGGAATGAAGCCCTGAAGCATTGTCTTCAGGGACCAATTATTAACAAAGGGGGTGGGTCTTCCATGAAGGGGACAAAGCCAATGGGATCCATGAGGACCGAAGTTGCAGCCAATGGGAAAGAGACTGTTATATCTATGTCCCAAGATATGTTATACTGGGGATAAGGAGCTCATTGAGAGAGCAATGAAGTCAATGGCGCCACTCCCTGGTCGGCTGGGAAAACAGCATTACTTCCCAAGGAACCAGTCACAGAAGGCCGCTTTGTTAGGGAACCCAGTCAGGGCCTGAAGAAAAGTGGCTGACTATCTGATCATTGGTAAAGTCAGCACAAATTACAGATACTAACACTGAGAAAGAAGGCAAGGAGATTGTGCACCCTCTAGCCTCAGACTCTCTCTCATAGACTTATCCTCTCACCCATTTAATCCCTCCTCCCTGCACCCCATCCTGCAAGCAAGCGTACCCAAGAAAACAACAATGACAGTTCAACGTTCCTGATTCTTGTGCTGTGTGACCTGCAGGGAGAGCGTGACTTCTCTGAACTTGTCTCCCACTCTGTAGAGATAGGCGTGATCTCTCTGAGTGCTAACTCTTTGGGATCACCCTGCTGCTTGGGATCACCAAGCCTCAAGTCTCTACAAGGTGTGTGAAGGAAGAAAGGAGTTGCAGAGACACTCACCTGGCACGTGTCAGCCCCACTGCTGTCTCCTGCACAGACCATGCTGTCCGTGACTTTCCCAGGGTAGGCATCCTCACACTGCTTCTGAGAAAAGATTTCTACTTCTGCACAGTTGAGGGTGTCAGGAAAATTCTCTGAAGGGGGCAGAGGTTGTAAGTTCCCAGAGAGAGCACCTCTTTCCTTCCGTCCCTGTCTGGGTCTAACCTCCCTTCAGTGCATCCACAGCTGCATAGGGCGTTCTCTGAAACATTTCAGAGGGGACGTCACTGCTCACCACATTAAACAAAGCCATAGCCCCTGCTGTTTCTTTCTCTCTGCCTACAGAAGGTCTGCTGGACCCTATCTTTTGTTTCCTGCCTTGAGTCATTTTCAAATTAAGAATCAGGTGACTGGGAACTTGGATGCGCCCCCTGTGACACCTCTGACTCTTTCCAAACATCCCTTCCCCAGACCATCAGGTCCTCAATCTCAGCTTAATCCTACTTCTTCCAAGAGTCACCTCTTCCTAGAAGCCTTCCCTGACCACTGTAATTAAAACATCACCTCCCTATCACTCCCTCCATGATATTCCAGTATTGCACTTGACTCTACCTAATATTTTATTTTACATGTATTTGTTTATTGTCTATTCCCCCATCTAGCATGCAACCTTGTAAGGCTTTGTACAGGACAGTACTTGGGGCATATCAGATGCTCACAAATAAGAGTTGAACTGACGACCGACAGTGGAATTAATCTTTCTGATTAACCTCTGAAGAATAGACTTGAGAGGGTAAGAAATGCTATCTGGTACCCCTATGTGCCAGAAGCTATATGCTCACAATCTCATTTAATGCTCACAACAGCTCTTTGAAGGAGGGATACATTTAACCATTCATCCATGCATTCCTTCGTCAAATGTCTATTAAACACCTACCATGTACCAGTCACCATCCTGAGCACTAGGAACACCCATGAAGAAAATGGTTATAACTGGAGCCCCTGTAGAGCTTAAAAGTCTACTGGAGTATTAGCCTCATTTTGTAGAGGCAGATAGTGAGGCCAAGAGACGGGAAGGGACTTGCCCAGAGAAAAGGGGCAGGGCCATGGTTTGAACTGACCTGCCTGATTCATGAGCAGGTCGGTTTCCACAGCATCCCATTGTCTTCTTAGGAGTCAGACAGGCAGGGACCTGAATTCTGATTTTGCTTTCCTGGCAAATCACATCGCCTCTTTGAGCTGAGCCCCGATTTTTTCATTGTGAAGCAGGGAAAGGGGCTACCCAAACTCTGAAGTCTCAAAGGGAGGACCTCAGTCGAGGTCCAGACTTCCGGGTCCAGAATGAGGTGGGAGCTGGGGACCTAGACTGTGGATCCTGTGGGAGGAAGGGTCTGGACTCCTGGGTGTGAGGGAAGAGGGGATCTGGGGCCGGGAATCTTGGGTTCAAGAGAGAGATTTTTAGGAGCCAGTTTCCCTGGGCCACTGAGGAACCCATGTACCCCAAGGCTGTTGTGAAGATTATGTAAAATCCTATACAACACAAGCCCACGTAACACGATGCTCTCCACCTCGAAGGAAGGACACATTCAGTCCTCGCCTCGTTCATGCATTCATCCGCCTTTTCTGTGCTCTGCTTGTTAAGCTTTCTTTCTCCCACTACTCCTGGCCTCTAAGGTTTCCAGCATGGACCGCCTGTGAATCTCAACTTCACGGTCACTTTCCCTTCGTCTCCTTCTAGGGCCAAAGCTTTGCCAACGGCTTGGGGTCTGCTGGGCCAACCAGCTCCTCCTCTCCCTCCCACTACCTTGGGGGCTGGTGACAGTGCCCCAGCCTGAGATGGTGCACTTCTGGCCAGTTTGAGGGCAGCGATCCGCCAGGTTGATGGGCTTCACTTTGGACCCCAGGGATGCCCGACCACGTAGTCGAATCAGCATCAGATCGTGGCTGTGGTCATTGCTGCTGCTGTTATAGCAGGGGTGTGGGATGGACTGGGCCACAGCCATTTCTTGTTCTGTTCCATCCTTCTTCTTCAGGCTGTGCTCTCCCAGGCACACTGTGTATTTCCTGTAATGATGGGGGTGGCTTGGGACCCAGGCAGGGATCTGGGCCCCCAGGTCCCTCCACTCTCAGACCTGGAAGTCCGGGTCCCTCAGTTCCCTCTTCTCTCAGACCTCGTTTCTCAGAGACCAGGTCCCCAGCTCTCCCTTCCTGATGCGAAGCCCCAGCCCACTCTTTCCCCTGGCTCCAGACCACCCCTGCCCCAGGCATCCACTCACTCTTTTTTACAGTGGGCTGCTGTAAGGACCCAGCGGTCATCTATGAGAACACCCCCGCAGAGCAGCTGGATGCCCTGGAACAAAGCCGTCTGCCAAGGCTGCGAATTGGCCTTGCACTCCTGGCCCTGCAGCACCTTGGGCTCCTGTGCCCGCAAGTGTCCTGTAGCAGGAGGGAGAAGGTTGGATCACAACCCTCTGGGGCAGTGCAGGGGCCAGGAAAACCACTGTGGGTTCAAATGAATACACACACACCCTCGGACGTTTGCCTCCTGACCTGCGCATGCTGCTACACAGACGCACACGTCCGCTCGTGGAAGCCCATGAGTCATCACACACAGAGTCGCACACCTGAGCATGCTTCCACCTGCTGTCACGGGCATCCACGTGCCCCATATACTCCCGTGAGTATCTGCGCCCCTCAGCAAGCAGCCCTGCAGGCTGGGTGTCCTCATGCAAAATGCAGCAGAACCTGACATTCCTATCTGCTGCCACGTGTGCCACGCCTCCACCCACCGACAGAAAAGCCCACAGAAGCGCCCACATGCGACTGCATGCTTCGCATCTCCCCACCTGCCACCGCACACACCCACACATACCAGCCCCATAGCATCCCCACAGGCTCCCGCGCACCACTGGCACCTTGCGCGGCCCCTCACCTGCCCAGGCTTCCAACAGCAAGAGCAGGAGTGTCCAGATCCAGACTGCAGCAGGTGGGGGGCGTCCCATGGTGGGATCTGGGAGAGGGAGAGGGCAGAACTGAGAGGAGGAGAGAGGAGAAAGTCCTGGTGACCTTGGGATCTGGCAAGAAGCAGAGCAGCTGGAGCTGTTCTGGATCCTGCAGGAGGAAGGGGCTGGGAAGCCGGATTCTTGGGTCTCAGGAAGAAGGGTATGGGGCACCAGATTCCTGAATCTGAGGAGCTGGGGAGCTCGGCTCTGAATTTCTACATTCCAAGGAAGGAGGGAGTTAGGGTCCCGGACTCGGGTCTGAAGGAAGAGGTTGCTGGGAGGTGGGACTCCTAAATCTTGGGGGCTGAGGTGCTGATTCCTGGGTCTCAAAGGAGGCAGGGATCTGAGGTTGAGGGCCTGGACCCTGGGAGAGGGGTTCAGGGGCCTGATGCCTGAGAACTTTGGCATCTCACCTTACAGAATCCAGGAGGCGGGGTCACCTATTGATTCCGACCCAGAGGAAGAGGGCCAGGGACTTCAGCTCTGCCTGCCTGGTACAAGATTCTGGAGCTTTTTAATTGGGAATGCCCGCCTCCCGCTCCGCCTCCTCCCACTCCAGAGCCGGCAGAGCGGCTGGGAACTGGAACCCTGGGTATTAGCGAGGAGGAGCCGAGGAGCTGAAGGAGAAATCTTGAGGGAAGAGGGTTCGGAATCTTCAATTCTTGAGATCTGGGAGTGAAGGAACTTAGTGCTGTGACTCCTGGGTCTGAAATAGACAGGACTGGGGGCCCAGACATTCTGGTCCTAGGGAAGAGGAGGCTGGGGGACCCAGACGCCTGGGTCTGAGGGAGGAGGGGTAAGGAAGCCTGGATTTGGGGTCTGAGGGAGAAGGGGCTGGCACTGAATTCTTAATTCTTAATTCTTTATCCTTCTTTTTGGAAGGAGGAATTTGGAGCCTGGGGTTTTGTGGCAGGAGAGGGCTGCTGCCAGTAACCCAGAATGGAGGGCAGGGCGAGTCCTCTTGATCCCGACTTCAGAGGGCGGGTCGGCCCCGCCCGCTGCCCCCTGAGAGGTCCAGGATCTGGGAAGGCAGGTTTGGGAGGCACCTTGACCTGATTTCCCCTTCCCTCGGGGCGGGGACGGGACCAACCCAAGCAGCACCCAGGAGCCTTGCTGCAATCGGGCTGATGGAGACAGACTTCAGGCAGGAGCGACTCGGGGCTTTAAAGGGAATTGCAAAGCAGTGGCGGTTCCCTCTCTGCCCTCCACCGCCCACCCGTTGCCCTTCCTTTATCCCACAAAGCAGGCAGAAGGAAGGCGCGGTTCTGCACGTTTAATGTAAAAGCATCCCTTGGATCGGAAGGGATCGACACCCTCTCCCAACTTCTTCGGGTCGTGTCCCCGCCAGGATTCAAACCCTGGACACGCCTAGGGCGGGGCCACGACGGGCGGAGCCCGACACGGTGCCTTGAGTTCCACGTGGGGAGAGCTACCGTGCCCGTCACGTCACAGGGGCGGGACCTCTGACGAAGGGGGCGGGGCCGCAAGGGGTGGAGCTCAGAGGGGAAATATCACTGGGCAAAGCTCGGAGAGGAGGAGCTATTTAGTGGCTGTCGTTACTCCGGTGGAGCCACAGGTGATGCTGTTCCATGGGGTCAGTGCCCGTTCTTGGTGACGTCATAGGGATGGAGCTGAGAGGGGTAGAGGTGTCTCCTCTTTCCTTCCAAGGGGCGTGGCTATGTATTTCGCTGGAGCCTGGGTCTAAATATCCCGAATGTGGGAACTTGAATATCCAGAAGGCGTCTCCAGAGCAGCTGAGGCCAAGGGCGGAGACCACTGAGACTGGAGTCTTGCAATTCTCCTACCCTGCGCCCACGCCCCTGTCCTGCTCATCCAAGGCACGAGGGCTCAGATGTCCTTCATGGTCTTTTGGATCCAGTCCTGGTAGTAGCATACAGCTGTATAGACGGCGGGGCGCCCGGGTTCGGAGCAGGGCTCTGAGCCCCCAGACACCACACCGGCCAGGGTCCCATTGCAAACCAGCGGGCCCCCAGAGTCACCCTGTGCTCAGAAGAACAGAGAACCTGTTAGGCGGGTCTACTCATAACATTACACAGGCCACTTTCTCCCTCCCAGGAAGCCCCCAGTTTCCTCCTCCTCCAGGATCCAGGCATGCTGGTCTCCAGTCCCTCCTCCCTCAGACCCAGGAGTAAAAGCTGATAGCCCTCACCTCCCCCTGGTACCTAGCATTCTGGGCTCCTAACTCCCTCCTCCCCCAGGACATAGAGTCCAACCCCCAGTCCCCTCCTGCTTTAGATCCAGGAATCCAGGCCCTGGCCCCACTCTCTCCCAGGGCCTAGGTATCCCAGCTCCTTCCTTGGTCTGATCCAAGAAGTCTGGGGCCTCAGCTCCCTTCTCCTCCAGGCCCCCAAAATCCCTGCAGGACACCCCTCCCCCTCTTTCTCAGAGTAGGCCTCACCTGGCAGGAGCCCCGGCCGCCCTCCCACAGGCCGGCACAGACCATGCTGTCTGAGATGTGGCCTGGATACGCCCAGTGGCAGAGTCTGGGCTCCAGGACGCTGATGTTGGCACACTGCAGCGCAAGGTGGGAACCGCACT